AAACTAGTAATTACTTTTCTCTTTCAACTATAATAGTAATGATGATAATATCCTCATTCGTTTGCTCGGCAAATATTTATTAAGCATTCATCACACGCTTAACGCTGTGCTTTGTTTTGCTTCATTTGCAGTCCCTGGGAAGAAGGCCAGGGTGCTGGACATGCTAGGCAAACGCTGCACCTCTGAGCCAGAGCTGAACACCTCTGAATCCTGCGGACCCAGAAGTGATCCTCATGGTGCTTACATTCTAGCGGAGGAGGAGGGAGGACAGTAAGCAAAATGAAGAAGCAAAGAGTCAAGGTGTCAGAGTAGAAAGTACCGTGGAGAAAAATGAAGCAGGGATGGTGAGGTTAAGACACAGAGAGAATGGGACGAACAATCAGAGAGCTCCAGGAAGGAGGCACACGGGAAGCGTGTCCGTGTAGTCAGAGGCCTGGTGACCTGAATGGAGAAAGCTATGGAGCGGATGGCGTCCGAGGGCCAGTGGAGAGAATTCAGGTAGAGCAGGGCCCCAGACCATGACCTCATGTAATCCATCATCCACATTGGGAGACTCAGTTTATTAGTTATTTCTGAGACTGGTCTCAGACTTCTGGGCTCCAGTGATCCTCCTGCCTGAGCCTTCCGAGTGCTGGGGCTAGCGGCGTGCCTCTTCCTGGCCAGCTTCCTTGGGAGACTTTACAGGGAAAGGTAGGAGAAGGAGACATGCATAGTTACCCGAGGTCACTACGGACAAACCATCCTGGACAAAGCAGGGCGTGTAATCGTACTACTTACATGCCATTGCGAAGTCTCGTGCTTTTGGAAGTTTCTGAGCAGAGAAGCAACAGATCTGACTGAGCTCACTCTGCTAAGCTGGCAGTAGGTCAGAAGGGATCAGGGGAAGAATGTGCAGGAAAGGACCTCTTAAGCAGCCAACAGAATCTGTGCAAGAAGCCAGTCTCTAGTTATGTTGAAATTATGGCCCAGGATTTATGGGCAGGTTGGATTAAGGCTCTGGGGAGAAAGAACAAAAACAAACAAGCAAAAATGGAGTTGCCATTTATTGAACTCTTTAGACAGAGAAGGTTTGGAGGGGCAATTAAGCACAGGTCAAATTTGGACATGTTAAGTTTGAGTTGTGTATTACGTAATCAAAGGCGGCTGTATGAAGCAGGCAGGCAGTGTGTGAGTCTGGAGTCCAGCTGTCTGTTTTTATTGGATGATTGCCGATGTAGAGGTGATACTTAAAACCGTGAGACCGGGTATTCAAAAAAGGAAGAGAATCAAGCACCAGGTCTGAGCACTGAACACAAGAGGTGGGGCAGATGACAGAGGAGCTGGTGAAGTCAGGTAGGAGGAAGCCTGGGAACAGTCATCAGGGTCAGAAACGTGCAGCTCACTAGGGGCCTGGGACTGTTTGAGTGAAAGGTGGGGATGAAAGTTTATGTGGATCGGGGTCCAGAGAAAATAGGAAGGAAAAGAGTTGGAAGTAGCAAGTATATAGTCATCTTTGGAGGAGTTTTGCTGTAAAGGAGAAATGAGGCAGTAGCTGTACAGATGAAGAGACTGAGGTTTAGGAAGAAAATAAAAGGCTGAAGGTCACGTAGGGGGACAGTGACAGACTCAGGGATGTTTGCCTCCAAAGCCTGGACTGTTTGCTTTAACTGGAGCACTAATGGGCATTTTAAAACTTAGTGCGTAAGATGAAGATGTGATATGTAGCCATTCCACGAGACAAATGTAATTTATGTGTCACAAATACTAATGGAAAGTTTTTTAATGGCGCATACAGGAAGATAACTTTGCTCAGTGTTTTTGAATCTTATTTTTCCAAACTCTGTTAATTTTAAGATTTTCTGGGTATTGATTTCTTTAAAAGTTCATAACAAAATTTATTTATTTTATCTTATCTTTAGCTCCCATAAGAGATACTATAAACTGTAAAAAGCAATTTTCAAAAGTAGTTTATTTGGATTTAATCAAATATCCACTTTGATGTGTGTTGCCTAGTTGGTCTCTGAGCTAGGAGAAATATAATCATTTGTGTACTTGTTTACTTAGATACACATCATCTCTTAGCTGGGTATGGAGGCACACACTTCTAATCCCAGCACTCAAGAGGCCAAGGCAGGAGGATCACAGCATAGAGAGACATTGCACAGAGAGACATTGTTTTAAAAAAAGTCATATTTTACTGTTACAGAGCCCCCCCCCCAGCAATACAAATTAAATAACATATCTTTACTTTTTATATTTAGAAAAACTTTAAGAGCATTTAATGTTTAGGTGCACAAAAATCAAAACGTCCATGTGTTAAATGTAACATTTCCAAACTGGTTGTGGTGATGCTCACCTGTAATGCCAGCACTAGGAAGGCTGAGGCAGAAGGATCACCAAGAATTTGAGGTCAGTCTGGGCCAGCCTGAACTGCATAGTGAGACCTTGTCTCAACTCCCCTCCCATGCCCCCCAAAAACCCAACCAACCAAACAAAAGAAAACTACAAAAAACACCCCCCCCCCAAATTTCCCTCAAGTTAGAGTTGTAAAGTATTTGGGTGAAGATACATGTTATTACTGTGAAAGTGTTACACTGAGTGGCCCTAGAGAGGAGGAAAAGATGGGTAAGACAGGTGCCTGGCCTCCCGGACCTTACAGTCACCACAGGGACAACTAGTAAGGATGACAAGTGCCAAAGAGCAGAGACGTGAGTCCCTGCTGGTGGGAAGGAAGTCCAAGGTCAGCCCCTGCAGGCAGCGGTGACGGGCAGGCTGGTGGGAGACATCTAGACCAGCTGCAGGCCTGGCAGCAGAAACTAAGCACCAACATTCCCAACCACGGATCACAAAGTATTCTAGGATGTTGTGTGGGGACTAAAGCAACAACCAAAAGTGAGAATCAGTGTGTCTGCACCTCCACATAAATGTGGACAACACAGGAAAAACACTCAGAATGACTAAGCAAAGCTTAGCAGTTTATGGAGCTATTACATCAGTGGTAATTACTTCCAGGAGATGATGTCAACAGCAAGCAGCATGTCAAAACCAGCAGCTTCCCTGCCTAGGGGCAGATTATAGCGCTGGACATGATCAAGAAGTCCTTTGCTGCAGGGCTGTTCTGCAGAATCCACTTGAAAGGACAGTTTGCAGCGTCAAGACTGCAGAAGTAATTTTGAGCTACGTTATCTCTGTGCGCCCAGTACATATCGAGACATAGCTGACACATATTTCCTGACCTCACAGCAATATGCTCTCTTAGCGGCTTCTACCTACCTTTTGCACCACTGTCTTGGCTCTGGGTTCTGCCATCGCAGAGGATACACTGGAATAAAGTGTGCAGGAAGGTCCAGGCTCACAAAGGAGCAATTCTAAACTTTGGGCGATGTTGCTTCTCAGAGCTCACTCTTGTTGACTGGGGGGCATGCAAGCATTCTCTACCTATCTAACTGGTTTGTGTAGTTTTCCTGATTTTCTTTTTACCAGCAAAATGTGACATACTATACATACTACTGTTAAGCCAGCTTAGCAAACAGGAGGCTTTTGTCACATGCTCTAAACAACAACGGTAACAACAAGGAAGCACACAGAGGGGCAGCATTCCAAAGGCTGCCAGGCATAACTCCCACCACTGCAGCCAGATCATCCGTGGCTCCTCAAAGGCAGTAGGCTGCAGGAGCCTCCGTGGCGATCTCTTGCTGCATTTCACCTATGAAATGCTGCATATATCTGCCATTGGGATAGAACATGCAATGTATTTGCTTTTCATCCCAGGTTCTCATCTTAGAGCTCCTAAATGCCCCCCACCCCGGAATTTCCTGAGTATAAAGGGGTTCTTGTGTCACTCACCCTAAACCCTGTGGTCACTTTATACTAATTACTTATGGTGTGGCCTGCAGAAGGGGTAGTCACCAAAAATCCCAAATGACAGAGGATAAGAGGGCTGGAACTTGCAACTCACCCGCTGGCCTCTGGGCTAGGGTGCTGGAGGGCAAGCTCTATAAAGATTCCGCAATGGCATCTGATGAGCTTTTGGAACATGGTGGGTAGGTGAGTGCATCCACATGCGGGGTAGGGGGCCCTTCGCCCGTCTTCACTGGCTGTTCACCTGTAACCTGCTTAACAGGTTGCTTGAGCACACCCCTGACTTTGGGGCATCCTTCTAGTAAATATGGCAGAGTAGGAGGTGCTGGGAGCCTATTGGTCAGAAGTATGGTGGCCTGGATGGGCCACTGGCATTAAAACTGGCATTAAAAGTTGGGGCCATCTCACAGGAACGAAGCCTCAACCCTTCGGGACCTGAGACTATCTCCAGGTAGCTAGCATCAGAATTGGACTGAAGTATTTATTTAGACCCCATTAGCATCTTCTAGAGAGCTGCTCAATGTGTGGGGAGACAGCTACCCCCACTTCTGCTACAGAAATGCTCTTAGTGTGCCAAGAGGGAAAAGCTTGCTTTTTAATATCTATGCATTCCTCTCCAAGGAGTGTGTAACATTTTCTGGATGTGAATACTGTATAATTTGTCCCAGGGTTTCCTCAGGAAATTAGTTTTGAGACCCCTCATATAAAACGGTGTGACATTTGCATATAACCTATGCATTTCCTCCTGTACACTTTAAATCAAATCTAGATGACTTATAATACCCAATACAACGTAAATCTGTTTAAATAGCTATTATAGCCGGGTATGGTGGCTCACGCCTGTAATCCCAGCACTCAGGAAGCTGAGGCAGGAGGATAGTTGCGAGTTTGAGACCAGCCTGGGCTATAACCTGGGCTCAAGGCCAGCCTGAACTGCATAGACCAAAAAAAAAAAAAAAAAAAAAAAAAGCTGTTATACTATATTGCTGAGAAAAAAGCCTATACATGCTCAATCCAGACACAGCCATCACAGGTCTATCTGTGGAGTATGAGACAGGACTATCAGTCTAAGTTTGTTGAATTTAAGGATCTGGAACCTGCAAACTGTGTAACATCCTCCACGTGTACACACATATACGTATCTATACACTGCTGTCATCTACTAGTTGTACGAAGGCAAACAACCTTTTTATTTGAGTGGTATTGGTATGTTAGGAAATGAATGTTAATCTTTATATGGATTTTTCCAGTCCTTGACTAACACATTTTTCAGAAAGTCTTATGAGTACATTTCATGGAAGTTAATTAGTAAGGCGGACTCTGGAAATATTTGTTTTTAAAAACAAGATTATCTGGAAGGGCAGTCCAGGGTTGAGGAGATGCCGAGCACTTTTCTTCTGCAGCAAGCTCTGTTTCAGCGTGGCCTGTCACTGTCACTGACAATCCATGCTGGCAGGAAAGGCTTGCGTGCTTCACAGAGTCGGAGGCACGGCTCTGGTTTGTACTTTGGCATGTGCAGAACAAATGGTATCAGAACACAGTTACTAGGACTTTGGGATTTTCTTCTCTCTTGGTTGAGTCTTTTGATTTGTTTCCAGATCTGAACCTGAAAATACAATTGCTGTTAGGGAAAATTAAATATTTAAGATTATTCTCCTTGAAAAGTCACACTGATAAACATTTCTCCAAACAAGGGACAAGCGATTATTTGAATGGTAATTGAAGACCCTCGTGAGTAGAGATCCACTAGTTTATGATTTTGAATATCTGGGATCATTTTCTTAATTAAAGATAAACCCCAGAATTTAAACTCATTCACAGTTTTCCTGCAGGAAAGAGGAGTAGGCACGAATATCTGGGCAGGGAAAGTTGGCACTGAAGTGGTTACAGTGACACTTCAGTTGTCCAACTCAGTTCATTCCAAATTCATGTTGAAACACTGAAAGCCTGAGAACTGAGCATATTTGGAAAAGTGAATAAGTAGGTCCTGAGGCCCCCAGAATTACAGGGTACTTTTTTCCATATTACTAATATTTGTTGTTCTGTGGAACTGGGACTAGAACCCGGGACTTTGCACATGAGCCTCAAGCACTCTACCGCTGAGCAGCACCCCGACTCCGGAGATGGACCTGGCCTTGCCCCTCTTCATCTGGCTGCTCATGTCCTTAGTGGCACACTCCTTAGAGTCAGCGAAGTGTGTCCTAAGGCCTGTGAAGTGTTCCTAGCAAATTACTGAGCACAAGGAGGGGAACTGTGGAAAATGCAGGCTTTCCAGGCAGGCAGGCAGCAGTGTGGGAGGGTGAAGTTCAGCCAGGGCCGTACTGCGGGGCGGGGCCCTTACACCTTGGAGCCTGATGCTAAGTCCAGATGGTGTCTGGACTGAATGAATGGTAGGACCCCCAAAGGACTCAGAATTGGCTTGGGTCAAAAACAAACCCTCCCCCCACAATCTTGTAGTATGAAAAAATAAGTTTTTGGGGCTGGGGATTTAGCTCAGCAGCACAAGTGCCTGCCTTGCAAGCGTGTGGTTGTGAGTTTGATCCCTGGTATTGGTAAAAAAAAAGAAGAAGAAGAAAAAAATAAGTTTTTTATTTTGCATTTCTTTGTTAATGTGGACAAGTAATTTTTCATGTGCATATTGGAAACTCAACTTCATCTTGTATAAACCGCCTGTTTATGTCCTTAACCAGGTTTCCTATCGCTTGTCTTTTTCTCCACTGGTTACTAAGAACCGTCTGTATATTTGCTATTTTAGCTCATGTCTGCAGTTTGAGCTGCAGATATTTTCCATGTCTTATTGGCCTTTGTCTTTATGGTTCGTTTTTGGCTTTTAAAAGTCATATGAGTAGGCATATCACCTTTTCCTTTATGGCCTTCTATTTTGACATTATTCTCAGATTGGCTCCAAGAGTTATAAAAATACCCACATTTTCCAGGATGTGAGTCTGCTCAGTGGTACAGCACTTGCCTAGCATGCATAATTCTCTGGGTTCCATTCCCAGCAGCACAAAAACAATCATAAAAATATGTTCTCTTCAGGAATATTTATGATTTTACACTTTAAATCTATATTTTACCTTTCTGGATTTTTTCTGGATATATTTGCTAGGATTCAGGTTTTTTTACTTCTTCAAAATGTCTATGTTCTAACATCTTTAACTGAATAATCTCTCTCTCTCTCCCTCTGTCTCTCTCACACACATTTGGAACTGCTACCTTTTATTACATACTGAATTACTGTATTGCCTTGGGTTTTACCTTAAACTGTATTCCACACCACTGACCACTGATTTCTATTCTTATACCAATTACTTCTCTTGCTTAAAGGTGTGCTTTATTATCTGACCAAGCTGTTCCCTACTTAGCATTCTTTTTTTTTTTGGTGCCGGGGATCAGACTCATGACCTCACACTAGCCAGGCAGGCGTTTAAGCCACTGAGCTAAACCCCTGGCCCATAGTTAGCATTTTTTTCAGAACCTTCCTCGATTTTTGTTTGTTTGTTTCCAGTACTGGAGATTGAACCCAGGGCCTCACACATATCAGAACAGTGCTGTAGCACTGAGCTACGTCCCCGTCCTTTTTACTTTGAGACAGGGTCTCACTGAGCTGCCCGGGCTGGCTAGCTATTCTTTCACATTTATTCTTTCAATTATTTTAAGTTCCACTCACCCTTTCACTTTCTGCATCTGGTCTAAGGTCTCTGGTAGAGTCACTCCAAAGCTTTCGGGGAAGAACAGGGTGACGATCCCGATGAAGACAGTCAGACTGCCCATGACAATGTAGGGCAGCAGTTTGTTGTAAGCACCTGCAAACCCCGAACATAAGCACATTGGTTAGACCCGGGGATTCCCTGGACGCCCTCGGGAGCGTTCTGTGAAGGTGGCACACGGTGGGACACGAAAGCGGTTTTAAGTTGGAACTTTCTCCAAAGAACGAATCAGCAGAATATCAGTTTCTTCTCGCAGGTGTCCTTGACCGCGTTTTTATAATCATTTACCCATTTGATTTCCAGTTATCGGAAGATTCTTGCATTCTTGCTTGGCATCTCCCAAGTTACTGCTTAGTCGTGTGTGACGGATGTCCTTGGACGGAAGCCTGTGCCTGGCGGGGCTCACCTCTTAAGGTGGGGGTGGCTGGAGGTGGGGAGCGTCCAGGGGCAGGGCGTTGAGTAGGGTGTCTCAGGACACTAGCTCCAGGGTCACCTCGCTTTTGCCTAAAGCACAGGCTGCAGTGGAAAGTGAGGCCCACAGGGTCCTGAGACACTTAAAACTAATACAGTCAACCCAACTGAAAGCAATAAATGACAAGCGTCAGGTACACAGTGTCCAAGGACTACGCCTGGAATTAGTTCCTGTTTTATTTCATCTTATTAGTACATATTTGCAATTCATGCAATTTATAGTCAACTTGGGGAGTGGTTCTATGTATATAGTACAGCTTGTTTCTTTTTACATCCCCTTCCCATTCCCTCCCCTCTCCTAACACCCCCTCCTGTTTTGTTTGTTTGTTTGGTTTTGTTTTGAGACAAAGTCTCCCTGTGTAGTTCAGGCTGGCATTGAGCTCACTTTGTAGCACAGGCTGGCCTTAAACTTGCAACAATCCTCCTGCCTCAGCCTCCCGAGTGCTGGGATTACAGACACACACCACTCCTATCCCTCTTTTTGTACTTGTTGATATTATTTGTCTTAGTTCATGTTATGGCATATAATGTTTGCACTAACTGGGGTTAGAGTCCTTCACGTGGCACATCCCTATTCCTCTCATTTCCCCTTCCCCTCCTCCTCACCCCTCTCTTCTCCCTGGTCGGCTTCTCTGTTACAAGAGATCTGACCTTTGTACCTTTCTACCCATCCTTTATCACTTTCTTTGTTTGTTCTTTGCCTCCCTCAAACGAGAGATCCTTTTGGTATCTAAAGTTGTGTGTTGAACTTATTTCCCTTAACATTATGTTTTTCAGGTCTTTGTATTTTCCTACAGTGTCTCAGCGTGGTTGGAATTAGTTTCTTTTCACAGAATTTATGTGTGTTCATTTATAATGTAAGGGGAGAATCATTCCACCTCTTTTTTATGTGGAATTACTTGGACAGAGGGGCAATAGATCTTCATCTTCCTCCTCTTCTGAACACAGAGGTTACAAAGGACCCCTGCATAGCATTTTATTTTATCTAAAACACAAGAAAAGCATTTTTAAAAAGAAAAGGAAAAAGTAAAACACTGATCCTGGGGCTTCTCTGGGATCAATAATAGCTTTTGAGGTGTGGAAAGCTCGCTGCTCTGGGGCGCCTCCCATGGGCCATTTGAGTATAGTTTGAAGGTCTGGGGAAGAACCAAAGGGCAGCACTGTATATAAAAATACCACATAACATTATACTCAGAGCAGCTGTGCAGAGTATGTTTACATTAAGAGAGTGTTCTCTGTAAGAATTTAGAGCGTATCTTTTTGGGGCTTTGGAGTGTATCTTGTTTGGCTTTGGAGTGTGTCTGAACCAGTGAGTAACAAGTAGATGACTGGAAGGGGGTGGGTCTGCATTTCTCATCAGTGGAATCCTTGGAAAGAAGGTGTGGCATGCTGAAGCCTGCACCCAACACCTTGTGAAAGCCTCTCTGTGGTATTATTCTAGATCGACGTATTTGATTATATAAAAACTAGAAGTTTTTGCACTGCAAAAAATCATAGTCAAGATGCAAGTAACAAACTAGGAAAATAATTTACAACACAGACACAGAGGGCTCGTTTCCTTCCATTGCAAAGAACTCACACAAATCAGGAAGAAAAAGATGAAAAGATCACTAGAATAGTGGGCAGGAGACGTAAGCAGCCTTCTCACTGAAAAGTAAAAGGAATGTGCTAATGTGTGAAAACATGCTCAATGACATTAGAATTTGAGAAATAAAAATGAAAGCAGTGGTGATATCCACTTCTCATGTGACAGGTTACCAAGTACTTAAAAACTGGCCAGTTCCCACTGATGGTAACAGTAGAGGGAAACAACCACTGTCACCTACAGATACATTGAAAATTGGTACAATACATAGAGTTCAGGTTAGGAATGTTTATGAAGTTGTAAAAGGATGTTCTTTGCTCCGGCATACTTCTTTGAATCTACCTATGAATCCAAATACATGTAAATAGAGGCACAAAGGTTATAGTGGCACTGGGGAAACGCCACTTTATAGCCAGGGAAATGGTGGCTGTGAAGTTACAGTTTTGTGTGGACTGAGCATCCCTTATCCAAAGCGCTTGGAACCAGAAGTGTTTTCAGTTCCAGAGCTTTTCGGGTTTTGGAATATTTGCATGGACTCTACCAAATGAGCATTTCTAATCTAAAAATCCAAAATCCAAAATGTTCCAAAATCTGAACACTGACCTTCAAAAAGTTTCAGATTTTGAAACATTTTAGATTTGGGGTTTTCAGATTAGGGTCACTCAGCTTGTAATAGCCAAAACCTGGAAATGGTCTAAATGTCCATTCACTGGAACCTGTCTAAATAAATTATGCATAGACAGATGTTGGATGTCTACATACTTACTAAAAACAGAATAAAAGAATCCTTTGAAAGGATACTCTGGTAACAATGCTAAGTTTCTAAAAGTTACAGGAAAATGTGTATAATTTTATTTGTGATAACAAAGGACAACTCCTCAACTCTTAGAATTGGCTAAGGGATCTGGGGAGCTGGGGGGAGGGGTGAACTTGTACTTTCTCCAGTAATTCCTATGCTGTTGGAATTTTGCACCGGGACAATCTGCCACCTTCACACTGAAGGCCAGTTTAAAGAGACAAGACGCTGACAGGGACATCTCACCGAGGTAGACAAAGTAGGGAGCGATGATACTGCCCACCCTGGATGCCATGGAGGCGATGCCCACCGCCATGTTCCTGACCAGCGTTGGGTAGAGCTCTGCGGTGAAGACATACAGCATGGCGAAGGCGGAGGTGACCCCAAATTTCCCCAGCATCACCAGACCGATGGACAAGAAGCTGTAATCTGGAAAAGAGAGCCTTGTATGCAGGCCTTTACCTCCTTTTGCTCTGATGGGGAGTTTTCACCAACACAAAGGATCCCCACAAGAACACTTTCTCTTCAGATGGCCTGACAATTGGATATGGACAGACATGGAGGGTGAGGAGAGGCTTTGTACTTTGTTCTCTCATTATTCTAGAGCATTAATGTACCTGGTGACCTTTGCCTGCTTGTTTTTTATTTGTCACAATGGTTTCTTGGGAAACATGTTAATATAGTTTAGGGAAAGGCCAGTGCTTTCTGCACTCTTACATATTAAGAAACATGTTTCTGTGTTGCTGCTATGTGTGTATTGTTTTCAAATTATAATGTTTTCATATTATAATATGAAATACTGGGCATTTCATATTATAATGAAATGTTTCATACTGTAATGTTTTCATATTATAAGAAAGACATAAGAGGAAAACAGAAGTTTGAGTTTCTTTGTATGCTATTTAACTACTTAAAGGTTCAGACCATAAAAATCACCAAATATATATTGGAACCAACAGGCACTACCAATATTAATACTTCAATGTACACTGCAGAGAAAAGTTTTGAAAGTATCAAGAAATTTGGAGACAGGAGGATGGCTCAGAGGGAGAGGTCTGAGAGTATATGTTGAGCTTAGGGATAACTAGCAGACTTTCTCTTCTTTTGTGGTTGGTGATTTCTGGTTTCCCAAGGCCAGTTCTTCCATTTGAATAGAGGAGGCGGTGAAGTCAGCTACTACCTCTCTCCCTGGCCTGTGAGTGGCTTATGATGTACAGGCAACATTATCAAGGAACAGGGACTCAGAAGCAGCCTAGCCAACGGGCGGGTTTTGCTTAGCCTCTTACCTGAAGGTACCAGCTGAATTAAGAGGAGCACACCTCCTCCAAAGCAGAGAACCCCAGCTATGATGTAACGCCTGGGCAGATTGCGCAGTAACAGCCAGGCTGTGATGTAAGCTGGAACTTCAATCAAGGCAGAGAGGAAACAGTTCAAGTAGGTATCTCCATGTAAATTAGGGACATTGAGAGACAGGGCAAAGTAGCCCACTGAGGTTAGCATCCTGAAAGATAAAAGACAAAAATGGCAAAAATGGTGTCGCACTGAAGTGTGGTGGTCAGGAGATCATCTAGATCTTGCTGTCCCGAAAACACCAGGCAGAGGCAGCTTTTTTTTTTTGGTCTTTTTAAGACAAGGTCTCACTATGCAGTTCAGTCTGGTCTTGACCTCACTTTGTAGCCCAGGCTGGTTTCAAATTTGCAGTGATCCTCCTGCCTTAGCTTCCCGAGTGCTGGTATTATAGGCATGTGCACCATGCCCGGCTTCACAGACAGCTATCTTTAAACAAATTAAAATTGGGTTAAATTTAAGTTTCTCTATCATTCCAGCCATCCTTCAAATGCTTGAAAGCCACTTGTGGCTAGCGGCTACTGCACTGGGCAACACAGATAGGAGACATTTCCATCTTTGCAGCAGGTCCCGCTGGACAGTGCTAGTCCAGATCCACCAGGACTCCCCAGTGCAGTCGTGCCATCTAGAGATTTGCTCATTATTAACATGACCACAAAGCAGAAATATCTGGGGAATGTTTTAGGGAATATTGTCGGATCTCTTTGGAGATGTTAGACCAAATTGGGGGTAGCACAAGGACTAATTCAAAATGAAATGAAAAAGTCAACTTTATGACCCTAGAAATCTTCATGATTTTCAAACTGAGGCATCAGGACAGCGTGGACGGGACCAGTGACTCACTGGTTGCTGACTGCATGGCGCTGCTGCCGAGATACACTTGACCAGTGGTGTGCCCAGGCAAGACCGAAGGCAGCTGCAGTGGGGCAGCTGTGCCATGGCTCAGGACACGCCTGCTTGATTCAGAGGCATCAGCTCGGTCCTGGGTTTTCTTTTTGTAATTGCAAAACAGGCTGTTTCTAAAACTAGGCTAGCTGCAGCCGGAACCTATCACTTCTTTTTCTGCCATAAGGAGCAAGCAGGTACTTGTTTTTCTTTCTTTCTGTTTTTTTTTCCTCTCATTTCTTGGAAGGTGTGTCACTAAATCTAATCTGCAAAGTCAGTCTATGATTCCTGCATTTTAAAAGCACTTAATTTGCTGCTGGCAAGTAAGGTCAAGATTTGGGCCCCAAGAGTGGGGTCCAGGTTACCCTGGTCTTTTGCTCAGTTGCCGGTTCAGCTTCAGGAAGTGGGAGCTGAATTAGCACCCCTGCTTCAGGCATCAGGGGTATCATCAGCATTCATCTTACATGCTTAGGAGGGGAGGGAAACTTTCTCCTGTGAGCCCCAGAATGCAGGGGTAATGTTCCCTTCTCACCACTGTCCCCCAGCAACTAGTCCCCCAGATCGAACAGAGGCGTTTCTCCAGACCTCACAACTCTGTACATGTTTTGTCTCAGGACAACCTGGGCTTGCCATGTTTTCCTGAACTGGGGACTGAAGCTGCATACTGAGGTGCTGGGCCCGCGTTTCCCACTCATCTGTTACTTACCATAGTAGCAAAGACATAATGGTTATTTGGGCAATGTTCCAGGTCCTGAACAGGTCCAGAATGAAAACTCTTGGCTGCTTCAAAGAGTTCAGCTCCTGTAGCTAAAATAATGCAAAGAACCATGAGTTTCAGAGTAGTGACGATGCAGCCATGGCGTGTGCAGCAGCTAACTTCACCTGGGATATGCTTGTGAGTCTGGAGGAGCGGTGAGGGCGTCTACCTGTGTGATGTTTATCCTGGTGCTTTCAAATGTTTGTAGCCCATTTTGGATGGAAGTCTTAGAAATATAAAGCACCAGCCCCTCAGTTTCATGCGAACCTGTTTTCATTGACAGTCGTAGCCATGGATGGCCTTTGTCATACTGGTCTGTGATCCTTGAGGACTGTTGAGGGGGAGGGCCACATAGCCCAAACTGTGACTTGCAGGTCATGTTTGCTTTTTACACTTTGCACATTGTCTCTTAATGTCAGGACAGACTCCGGCTAGTTGACAGACACTGGACAGGTTATTATTTACTTTCTCTGGGCCTAAAAGTTTACTTTTCTGTAAAGTGAGTGTGTTACTTGGGTGGTGGGAAGATTAAATGAGATCACACATGTGAAGCTTAGGATACACAGTCCTTCACAGTAGCTGCCCACTGAGTTTGAACTGTTTATGTTTACTGCTCCATTGCTGAGAAGATGCTGGGCATCAGTGCTTAGGGGCGATTTGTTACTTCTACCAATAAACTTCATTCCTTTACTTTTCTTTCTCTTTTTTTCCTGGAGACAGAATCTTCCGAGGTGACCCAGCCTGGCCTTGACTGTGCAATCCTCCTGCCTCAGCATCCTGGGTACCTGGATTAAAGGCATGGGCCACAATACTTGGCTCCTTCCTTGCTTTTAATCTGCTGGTTTATCTTGCCATGTGTTATGACTTTAGATAACCAAGCTGATGAGGACTGCAGCCAAAATAAAGCTGTGAGACTGGAAATGGGGGACACCTTGGGGATACAGTAGAGGCCTGATAGCATGTATGCAGCTCGAGACTGAGGACGGGCTTCCGTTATGAAGGATGGCAAATGCCAGGCCACCTTTGGGGTGGGGAGTCCCAGTGCCAGCTCTTCTCTCTGGATAACGAGACACTTGCTCAGCTTGCAGCTCTGTTGCTTTTCCCGTCGTGTGCTGTTTGGAGAACAAACCCTGGCACTGCATAGCCCTGCTATTACAGTGAAGCAAAGCCACTTCGTGAACTAGCAGGGGCCGGGAATCTCCTGAGGACCCTAAGAATGCCAGTCCTGTGCCCACATTGGACCCATCCACAGGGAGCTCATTAAAATGCAGATTCCAGGGCTCCAGACGTAGGTCAGTGTTCGCATGCTTGCTTAGCATGTCTGAGGCCCTGGGTTCAACTCCAATACTAATGCGGGGAAGAAGGAGAGGAGAGACCGGAGAAGGAAAGACAGGAGTAGGAGGGGGAGAGAGGAAGGAAGAATCCATAAATTTAAAACTTCTTGGTGATTGTGATAAGCAATCAGGTTGAAAACCTCAGGACAAAATTCTTGTATTCAGTGGTCATCCCTGCCACGGATAGAGCTACTAAGGGACAAGGTCCACGGGTAGCTTGAAGGTGCTTCTTCTGAAGCCACAGAAACTTAAGCCTGCTTTCCAAGATGATGATGCTCTATATGTTTTTCCCATCCCAGTTAATGCCCCAAAATGTAGTTTATTAGAGCATGGACTTTGATGCCAGACAGATCTAGGGTGCAAATCCCAACTTAATAGCTGTGTGATTCTGGAAAAGCGATTTACTTTCTCTGAGCCTCAGTTTCCTCTTCTGAGAAATGAGACTAATGAGTCAAACATCCTGCCTAGCACTGGTTAGGCTCTGGGTTAGCACTCTGAACAACTGCGCTTGCTGGCTCTGTGGGTCCTCCTAACGAAGACACTGGCAGGGTGGGAGCAGGGGGGGACTGCCGCAGGGAGGCACAAGCTCTCTTTTCCTCAGAGCCCCGTCCTGACCAGGCTAGACGTGCATCACGGCTAAGCAGAAGGCTGGGTTTTGATACCAGACTTTATTCTTATTTATCCATAGCTATATGGCTGTTTTATCAGGCTTTCATCTATGTTGGTCTGGCTTCCACAATTAGACTGTTTCTTGAAGATAGGAATCATATAGACTATGTATCCAATAAATACTAGTAAATACACAGCTCTGAAAAATGGTGGTGTTAGACACTCCCTATGTTGTTTTTGCAGCCAGTTAAGTTGACTAAGACTGGCAATGGACTTGTTGATATAAAGGACAAAAAATTAAGGATGTTTTGTTGTGGGCGGGCCTCTGAAAGCTTGGTGTAGTGCCATTGTAGTGACACCTCTGGCCATGGCCAGGTTACATGCTTCAGGAAAAGCTCCTGATGGCCAACGATAGTGGAGGCCTCTGGATGGGGCGCTGTTACCCCCACGTCCTCCGCAGTTCTGCTTCCCATGGCCGCCAGCCGTGCAGCTGCTGTTGTCTCCTTCAGGTGTCCTGAGAGGCCCCTGCAGCATATCTGTGTCTGTCTGTCTATCTATAACTTAATGCTTTCTTAAACTTTGGTAGTACTGGAGATTAAAGCCAGGGCCCTATGCATCTTGCCCCCTGTAAAACCTCTATCACTGAGCTATGTCCCCAGCGTTGCTATAAGCCAGCAACATTTCATGAAGATGCCTTTCCAGTGATCCTTAAAAAGACCATGCCGGGTGTGGTGGCTCACACCTGTAATTCCAGCAGGCATGATGTTAGAATATTATTTAATTCTAAAACAGCCCTTTACGGTGGTGGTTTTTTTTTTTTTTTTTAGGAGGCAGGGGTCTCACTATGTTGGCTAGGGTTACCAGAAGCTCTTGGGTTTAAGAAATTCTTTTGCTTCGCCTCTCAAGTAGCTGGGATTGTAGATGTGGGCCGCCACATCCAAAAGGTTTTTTCTGGCTCTTAGGAATAATAAAAGCATTTTCAAGTTTCAAAGTTCTGATCAGATTGCTGTGCATAAGCCGTGGAGCAGACCTGCGGGGTGTCTGAGCCCAGCAGCTGCAGTGGACAGTGGAAAGTGCAGTAGCCAGTGAGGCTTCTAAAGGGAGCAGACGGGAGCCACCCAGAATGGCATCATGATTGTATTCCTGACACCGAGCACATCGTCTGGTGCCTGGCAGGCACTTGACAAATACTAAATTAGACGAAATTCCATAAAACCAAGACTGCAGAGCTGACCGTAAGAGGAAACATCTGCGGATGCTCACCTCGACGGGATTGAATATCACGGCAGGTACAGGCACACTGTTCATCTTTGCAGCTTTCTGGATGATATCTTCAGCCTCTTTAAATCTTTTCTGGGATATCAGCCACCGAGGAGATTCAGGAATAAACCTAGGATTCATTTTCAGTAGTTAATCATTTTTCACAACAGTAGCAGGTGACACTGATATTTCTCAGACACTCTTCAGACGCTGTTATCTAGATTCTTTTAATTTTGAAAATTTCTAGTCTGTTTTTAGTTCAAATGTATTTATTTACTATTTTTTTGTGGTACTGGGGATTGAACCCAGGACCTCATGCATGCTAAGCAAGTGCTCTACCACTGAGCAACATTCTCACCCCTATATTTTCATTTGTAACTGACACAGTAATTATACTTATGGCTGAAAGGTGACATTTCAGTGCATGTATACAATGCATAATGAACAGCTGGTCTTGTTTGTTTGCTTGAGACAGGGTCTCCCTATGTAGCTCAGGTTGGCCTTGAACTCGCTATGGAACCCAGGTTGACTTCCAACTCTCAGCCATCCTCTAGTCTCAGTCTCCTGAGTGCTAGGATTACAGGTGTGAGCCACCGTATCCGCCATGTTGGATCACAGGTATCTAATGCTGGACATTGGAAGGGAGTCCTCATTAGATTTTCACTGGCTCATGGAAATAATAAAAGTATCTTCAAGTTTCAAATTTCTGATCAAATTGTGCATAAGCCTTGGAGCAGACCATGACAGTGACCTTCACTGTGGTGTGTCTAAGCGCGGCAGCTGCAGAGGACCATTGAAAGTGGAAGAGCCAGTGTGGTTCTAAAGGACGCAGTCCCTGGACTGTAAGGGCCCGGAAAAAAGAGAGTGTCCCTTCACTGTGTCCCTGTGGGGTCCTGGGGTGTTCACACCTTCCTTCCCTGGATAAAGGACAGCCAGGATCCAAGCTCCACCAGCTTTTCCTGCAGCCAGAGGGGTGGACAAAGCTTAACACCATCCCAGGCTATGCCTACAGCCTTTTGCAGGTTCACAGATCAGTGAGTTTCCAAAGCCAGCTTTTGAGAGGAAGCTTTTTAAGAAAAAAATATCTAACAACTTAATTTTTAAAATTTTATACTCCAGATACATTTATATGTATGATGTATTTTATATTCCAGTTATATTTATATGTATGATGTTCAAACATAGTTACAAATATAGGACTCTGTTTTTTTCCCTAATTTTTATTTCTTAGACACTCTTTTGCCATTTTCTTGCAAGGCCTTATTTTCCCTAATTAGGTATTAGCACTTAGTTATCAATTACAAGAAGCATACACAGAACCTTCCTATAATTAATAGACCCCCAAGCTGCACTGGCAAATTAGCTCAGAGAGAAACACTGTATCTCATGGTCAACCAGGAACCGCATTCCCCAGCCTCCTAGAATGTGGATGGAAAGGATCCCAGTTTGCATTTTGCAAGCTATTCCCTTAAGGTGGTCCCTGTAGAAATTGTGATGAAGTTAGGTCACCGACCTTCAGGATTTAGAGCTGTGTGGTCTAATAGAAACTTCTGAAATATGCAAACCCATGTTGTCCAGTAGAGTACACAGTAACCACATGTGGCTATTAAGCTTGTATAATTAGTATGACTGCAGAAATGGAAATGTGACTGTATTTGCTTTTAATTAATTTGAATAGCCCCATGTGGTTGGTGGTTACTGTACTAATAAGTACAGAATTAATCTTACTACATAGCCACTATTGTGCTTTGTGGCTGCCTGTGCTTCTGAGCTGTATCTTTCCCCAGTAAGGTTTTGCTTAGAAATATCCTTTCTGGCTGGGTGTGGTGGCACACTCCTGTGATCCCAGCACTCAGGAGGTTGAGGTAGGTGGACTGCTGCAAATTCGAGACCAGTCTGGGCTACAAGGTGAGCCCAAGACCAGCCTGAACCACATAGTGAGATCCTGTCTCAAAAAGAAAAGGAAAGAAAAGAAAAGAAATATTCTTTCTGCTGGCTCTCAGGTTGCAGTCAGCTGGAAATTGCAAAGCTCTCCCCACCTTGCATCTATGGTGTCCACCCACAGCCCCATGCCCTACTGTAAATGCACCTGTGGCCACTTACTGCCAAGTCTCGTAAAGGAAATTTGGGGTGCAATAAATCCCAGGCCACATGTAGCAACTCAGTGTGGGTTTTCCTCTCATTTCTGGCCCACTGTATTCGGACCACTGAGGTCTCTACTTTCAAATTACCTTGATTTTCTTGGTACACAAAACCCCAAGCCTGGTGGACCATTTCAAAGCAGACAGCCAAACAAGGCTGTGCATGTGGGTCTGTGGCTTCATGTTCTCTTCTGATAGAAGTGGGCTGCGTCTTCCTGGAAAACGCAAGCAGGCACCACCCCCCACCCCCGTCCCAGCCCTCTGGCCCATAAACTTTGCTTCAGAAAGTTCCCCTTCAAGGACTAGTCATTTAGAAGAAAGCTGTTTTATTTTTATAGGAAAATGAAAAGATTGTTGTCAGACTCTGAGGATGAACACTCAGCTCATTATTACTGACCCCCAGCTGCCCTCTGTCTGGGACAGTCTTGTCCTGGTACATTGCGTCCAGAGCCAGGGACACTCATGGACCAACCCAGGGGCTGTGAAAGAAAGGACTCTCCCAAGGGCAGAGGGAGGACGCTTCTTATGGGATGAGTCCTCTCTTCTGGAAATCTGGGGGCTGATGATCAGGGTGGTTCTCACTGTGGATAAAGGGGTAAAAGTACCGTGCGGGCCGTGAGAGCTCTTCAACTGTTAATCATTCTCTTCCTGTGTTTCTGTCTGCCCGCTCTCTCTCTCTCTCTCTCTCTCTCTCTCTCTCTCTCTCTCGCTCTCTCTCTCTCTCTCTCTCTCTCTCTCTAAATCATAGTGTAACAAAGTGGATTATAACATACTTTGAAAGTACTGATCAAGTAAGCCAAAATGACAGCTAGAGCCAGGGATTATTAAAATCATTCATCCAAAACGGCAGAAAATGACCTTATCTTGAGTCTTAAGAGAACCTCTGGTACCAACGTCTTTTCCAATAAATTCACTCAGCAAGGAGGTTGTGGAAAGCAGGAAGCAGGTGTGTGATGAGACAGAGATGCTGACTCTCATTCTTTGAAAAGTGCTCCGCCCTCGGAAGTCTGGGGGCTTTCTTTGGAGGCAGAGTTAAAATAATCTGCATTCATCTACTGATGCTCAGGCTGGGCTCCAGAGGAAAGTTCCAATACATCGGAGTAACATTTGGTCTTTAAACATCTGCCTCTCATCTACCAGGAAATTAAATTTTTCTCTTTCCCTGTACTCTGTCCTTCATGCCAAGAGTTGACCCTGGTAACCAAGGCAGCCTTACAGGTGGCAGAAAGACAAGCATCGGGGTGGTCCTGTCTGAGCTATCTGGTCAGAAAGGCCGCGGTGGACCACCTGTCACTTCTACTGCTGTCTGACCATGCAGCAAGATGAAGGGTCCTCTGGACAGCTTTCCAGGCAGGATGTGACAGGAAAACCAGGAGGTCTAGTCTTAAACCGTGAATTCAAAACACGATCAAAGGAACTTATATTATGTAGTTATAATTTCATAAACAGTTACAGTTATTTAAGCAGTTGAGTAAAATCATTCACTAGGGAAAAGTCGTTTTTAATATAATAAAACTAGTGGAAGCCACTAGCCAGTGGAAGAAATCTTTTTCTCTTATTTCTTCTTTCTCCTTGTTTAAATGTCACAAATCAAAGAAATAGGAAATCCCTCTGGAGGAGCAAAAGTTATATGGCTGGGACCATTTTCCATCGTTTCTAATCTGTTCTCTCAGCTGAAATCTTCCAGTTAACTGATGGGCTTGGGTTCTGTCCATATGAAACGCAATGTGGCGCCTGCCCAGCTTGGTGTAGGGCCCTACAGTGACAGCTCGCCCCTCCAACACTGACTTCTGCGTTCTTCTTCCAAGCCTGAAACTGAACTTCCTGCTTCTTGCCCGCATGCCAGCAATCCCCCAATCAGCTGCCAAGACGTCATTCTTCCCGCCCCTTCAAGCCCCGCCCCCACCAAACTGAATAAAAGCCCGCCTTTCTTTGCCTCGGAGGGAATTTTACACTCTTCCTGCAGGCCTCTCACTGCCCGCAATAAAAGGCCTTTTTCTTTTTCTGCCTTTGTTTCTCTACTGTGCCAAGAAAAACCTAACATTAACCATTTTGGATAAGACTGTGGGTAGAATCTCCAGACTTCAGTATTTCCATAACTGTTCAACTGTTGTGTCAAAATGGAATCGAGGGCCTGGGAGGATAGATGAGTGGCAGAATGCTTGCCTTACATGCATGAGGCCCTAGGTTAGACTGATCCCTAGCATCAAAGGAAAGAAAAACAAAGAAAAGAAAAAGAAGGAAAGTTTTTTGAGTTGGAGGATTGTGAGAGGACAAAAGAGAACATTTCAGCAACTCTTTAAACAAAGCAATCCCCTCACTCTCTAGGCATGTTAACAGGCACACCTTAGGTATTATTCATGGTGAGCAAATATGTGACCCTTGGTGTTTGGGGGAGGGTTGGTTCCAGCTTCCCCACTGATCTGAAACTCCAGAGCTGATCAAGTCCTTTCTATGGGATAGCACAGTATTTGCATGTAACTGATGCATCTCCTCCTCTGTATACAGTCACATGCACATACATTGTTGTGTGGGGGTGGTTGGGTGTGTTTGGAGGAATGGACCCTAGAGCCTTTACATGGGCTTATCATGTCTGTAGCACTGAGTTACTACCAGCCCCTTAACATCTAATGTAGTGAAAATGCTGTGTAAATAGTTACTGCATGGTCTAGTGTGTATTGCAAGCAAAGTCTACCTGTTAATCCATATGCATTTAAATTTTTTCTGGCCATCATCGATTGGTTGAACCCACAGAACCCATGGACACAGGCTACTGCCCTGTGGCTGAACAAAGATTTTCTAGAGAAAGAAAAGTGGCCAAAGCAAGGAGAGGCAGAATGAAAAAGAAAACCCAGCAATCGCATCTCCACAAACAGTAGCCAGTCACAGACTAGACGGGGGAGAGTCTGGACTCCCGAAGCAGGGCTTCGTGGAACAGTGCACAATCACACCCAGCACGGCCCACCCACGAGGAGCCAGGGCCACCTTCACCTCCGCTTCCGAGGCAGCCTTGGCAAGGTGCAGTGGAGGGCATGCACTCAGGCTGAGGTCAGCACCGGGCTGCCAGCTCCAGGTGCCTCGGGCACAGCCAAGGGCTGACCAGGAAGGCCTGGGTCGCACTCACCACCACAGCGGCACACACAGGACCCCAGGCACCGTCAGTGCCAGCAGCAGCATCCGCCAGTCTCTGATGAAGTAAGCAAACAGGGGCAGCAGCATGTAGCCGAGTGCAAAAAAAGTGCACACTCCTAAGGTGGAGAATATGATACGCACTGACTTGCCAAGGATTTCTGTGCCTGTTCAAAACAAGGGAGGAGCATTAGCGTGGGCACCCGCTTGCATATCCGCTTTGCATATCATTACCTGCAAGTGAGAGTTCAAACTGTGGCCCCTTAACAAGGGAAAAGTGTGTACTTCATGGCCCAGAGCAACTGTGGCGGTGGTAGGAAGGTAGAAAGCCATCAGGGACTCTCGTGAGATTTTTAAAGGAGCCATAGATTTACTGTTTTTTTTTCTTTTTGAGACAGGTTCTCACTATGCAGTTCAGGCTGGCCCTAAGTTCACGTTGTAGCCCAGACAGGTTCAGCCTCCCAAGTACTGGAATTAAAGGTGTGTATCACCACATCAGGCTGTGTTTGGTGTTTTTGAGGTGGGGTTTTGATATGTTGCCTGGATGGACTTTGAACTTGTAACGTCAAGTGATTCTTCCACTTCACTACCCCCTATCCCGGCTTGAGCCCAGAACCTTTGCATTGAGGTATATCCTTAGCCCTTCATTTTTCTTTTATTTTGAGTTTATTTCAAGTTGCAAGGCTGGACTTGAATTTGTGACCTTCACAACCCCACCTCCAAGCGCTGGGATTATAGGTGCAGACCCTCATGCCTGTATTAGATTTGCTCTTTGAAAGTCCATCTCATGTCACAGGAATGTCCTCTCCAATGCCAAGAGATAATCCCTCCTGAGAATGTTGTGTTTCCAGAAAAACAGCTCCAGCATGAGCTGCAGAGGCTTCCTAGCCTGCAGGAAGCATCTCTTCTGAGGCACTGTGTGGGGTCAGGGTGTCTGGGTGTACTGGTCCCACGTCTAACTGTATGTAAACAGACACCGGCCCAGCAGGAAATAGGAAGCTCACGGTTTCCTAGCTACTGGACACACTTTCTCACCCTGAGTCCTGAGACAACAGGAGCCAGTTGGGCCCAGAGGTGCAGAACTGGACCCCAACACCAGGGCTCACTTCCTCATAGCTTTGTGGTACCTGGAGATAGGCCCCAGGCAGAGGCAGTGCTCTCAGACCAGGGCAGGAAAGAAGGAGCTGTTCTGCCTGCCTGTAGGCGGCTGCCCTGGAGCTGCCCACACATCCAGGGAACTCCTGAGCTTTCCCAGAACGCAGGCCCAAGGCCATGAGGTGGCTGGCACGGTTTGGGAAAGGACAGGCAGGCAGTCGTAGGACCTCTGCACTACAGTGGGTCAACCAGTGGGCCAACCGCTCAGCACTGGCTCTTCCACACCGTGCCACCCTTCAGGGTGCTCGACTTGAGACACGGAGTCCGTGGGCAAGCTCCTGTGGTTATAGAGCTCCAGGCCTTTCCAGAGTTCATTCTGGGTCCTCTGGCCCTGGGGAGAGGTCCGTGGAGAAGTAGTAGCCCAGAAAACACAACACAGATAAATTCAAAGGTCACACAGCTTGGCTTTCAAGAAAGATTTCCGTAATCGTATTTATGTGCCCCAGGCACAGACTCAGATTAATTTCCCAGCTCAGGAAATGAAACTGCAGTACAGCTGTCAGGATGTGGGCACAGAGCAGGCAGGCAGAGGACACACAGCTCCTTGACATTAAGTCCCTGCTCAGTGACTTGAGTGCCGGGAGTGAGGTACTGTAGGCACAGTGGCTAGCAGTGTGCTCTATCTTGGTGCAACAGCTGAAGTGTGCTGGGTGGCAGGGGATGACACAAGCACCGTACAAAATGGTGCAGCCCAGTGGAAAACTGCAGGATCTCTCTGCCTTCAGAAACTGCTTAGAAATATCATCAGATTAGTAAGTGTTCCTGCTCAGGGCACTGTAGGCCAGTGGGACTTTTCTGTCCCTACCAGTGCCCAGCAACGCTATCTATACTGTTCTCCCCCGTGACATACGTCATCTGCTCAGCCAGGACTCGAGCTCCTGCTGTGTGGTCAGGAGTGAGTCCCTGCTCCTCCCTGGGAGACTGTGATGCAAACAAGGCCATTTCTGTACTGTGCTTGTGTAATTAGACCTCAGCTTTCTCCTGGAAGATTTTGAAGCAGCCTGTACTTTAAATCCAACAAAACTATAGTGCTATTTTGTAAAATATTTTTAAAAGCAAAATCTTATGCCTTGAATGAAAAATACAAGTATTGTAATTGATCACTTTGCACAAAAGTCTGGCAGTTCCTCAAAGGATGAACCCAGAATTTTTGCATGACCCAGCTATTCCATCCTAGGTAACTGAAAATTTGTCCACAGAAAAACCTGCATTAAAATGCTCACAGCAGCGTTATTTACAATGGAGCCCAGAGATTTCCTAATCAATGAACAGATGAGCAAAATGTGTTGTAATCATACAGTGGAATATTGATTTCACCCTGCAACACGGCTGATTCTTGAAAATATTAAGTGAAAGAAGTTCGTCCCAAAGACTACCCGCTATAATTTCATTTGTATAAAATGTCCAGGGCAGGCAAACCCATAGAACCAAAGTGGATTAATAATTGCAAGAAGTTAAATGAGGTCCTAAGAGCAGGGCCTTGATCTGATGGGACTGCTGTTCTTATAAAAAGAGACACCTGCTGAGCATGGTGGCACACACCTATGATTCCAGCATGCCGAGAGGCGGAGGCAGGAGGATTGCAAATCAAGCCCAGCCTAGGCAGCTTAGTGACTTAGTGAGTGTTGTCTCAAAATAAGGAAAGAAGGGAGGCGAGACAGAAGGAAAGAAAAAAAGAAAGAAGGAAAACCTGGAGATTGAGAGAGAGAGAATGAGCAGCACTCTGCTATTTTCCTAATCCCTACTGAGCTGCACTTCCCCCCTGTGACCGCAGGGGTGTGTGTGGGAGCAGGGGGGGGGGAGGGGCGGTGGTGGGGGGGGGAGGGAGGCGCTGTCAGGGGCTCTCCCCAGTCCCTGGCACCATGGCTCTCTCCAGAACAGTGGACACACCCCCCCACTGCTAAATTTGACTGGCTTTAAAAAAAAATAAAAAATAAAAAATAAAAAAAAGAACAGTGGACAATACGTTTCTCTCGTTGAAGCCATCCCAGCCTATGGTGTTTGCTTATGACATCCTACCTGACATCATAAAACAGAACTACATTCCCACTTCAAAGCATCTGGGACTGCCAGAGCTCAGTGCCTAAAATGCATAAGGCCATGGGCTCCATTTGCAGCACTGCAAGACAAATAAAAACCTAAAGAAAGTCCAGGGCCAGGGATATAGCTCAGTGGCACAGTGCCTGCCTGGCAAGCACAAGATCCTGATACCAAAAAAAAAAAAAAAAAAAAAAAAAAAAAAAAGGTTAATTGCTGGGCATGGTGGCGCATGCCTGTAATCCCACCACTCAGGAGGAGGGTCTCTGAGTTTGTGGCCAGCCTGGGCTAGAAAGTGTATCCTGAAGGGCATATGTTCAAGGGTATCCTGAACTGCATAGCAAAACCCTGTCTCAAAAAAGACAAAACAACAACAAAAAACAAAAAGCCCCAGCTACCTATAAAAGCTGCTGATAAAAGTCACACAATTAATGCAGTTCAATTTGCAACTTGCCTGAGCTTCCTGAGCCAGAGTTACAAAGGAAGACGCCACCAGTTACACACTTATCAAAAGGGGAAATAGCTGAGTGTCAGAGGAAACAAAGTTTTAAACAGTTCGGCGTGTCCAAACAAATGTCACAGGGAAGGCTGAGGTGAGGAGTCCTGGAAGATACGGAATGAATGAGTCCGTCAGACAGGAGCAGATAACTGTCCGTGCAGGAGTCACGTAAGCAGCTGGTTACAGACGAGAGCTGCTGTGGGCATTTTACCGGTACAGTGAGCTCTGAACAGGCTCAGGGCGTTACTTCTGAGAAACACGGGAGATTGTGCAGGTGCTAGGGTGTGGGTAGGATCCGTGTCCTTGGCCCGGAATCCTCACTTCCTCTGAAATCAGCGTCCTGCTGGCAGGGCTACCCTGCAGGCACATCAGCCTTATATTGCTTTGGACAGCAATGTGCTTTCCCGTGAGTTTTCTAGACTCCTATAAGTGTCACAGGCTTTTTGATTTTTCCTTTAAAGCAGCCCTAGGAAAGGACTCATTTCTGATTTTTGTTTTGGTTTTAGTCCCAGGGGTTTAGCGGGTTTAGTCTCCTGAATGCACTCCCTTCCCGTTTTTATTTTGAGACAGGCTCTTGGTAAGTTGTCCAGTTGCTCAGGCAGAGCTCAAACTTGCAGTCTTCCTGCCTCAGCCTCCCAGAATGCCAGGTTACAGGCATGCACCACTATACCCGGAGCATGTGCCTCTCCTTAGGATGTAACACTGTGCATGGCTAGTTAAGTCAGGTTGCTAGTTTAATGGGAAGATTCCTAACACTGGAGTTTATTACTGAAGAGCCAGGGGACAAACAGAAGATCTTAGTGAGACCCTATCCTTTGGTTTATTTGAGTCATATCAGAGCTGGTTGGTTCGACACAGCACAAGGAGAAATAAAAAATAAAAATAATTGGAATGAAAATGAAACCTAAAATTTGGTTTGAAACACCAGAGGGCGCCCTGCGCTGCGGGGAAGCCAACAGCCACCAATTCACCTTCACACCAGGCCCTGATGCTGTGTCCAGCTGCTCCGGAACAGGCTGGACTTTCGAACGTTCAGACTCAGGAACCCCACACAAAAAGTCTGGTTCCAGGACACCAAGTCCCTGTGCAGCAGGCACGGCAGGAGCTGACAGGTGCCCTGTGCACCCCGTGTCCTTTGCGCCGGTTCCAAGCTCAGCACATCTAAGCTCAGACTTACCCTCAGCCCTTACACTGCGCAGCCCACATATGAGACCACAGACTGAGGGGAGCTGGGAGGGCAGTGGATGGTGGTGCCCGGACCCACAGGGCAGCTCGCCCATCATTCTCAGAGGAGAACCCCAAGGCCTTGGAAGCATCCTGTGTAGTGCAGAGGCAGGTTTAACTGCAGAATCAGGGGACCCCCTGCCCAGCGCACCCTCCACCCTGGTCCTGATGGGTTGCTCTGGCTTCCATCCCTTCCAGTCAGGCCCAAGTCCTCTGCTGTGGGCTGGTGGGTCATGGGCTGAGTCCTCTGTACTGGGGAGGCCAGCTCAGTTTCTGCTCTGGGTCTGGCCCAAGCAAAGTGCTTAGTTGAGTTTTTCAGCTATAGCGAGAGTCACTGCAAGGAAGAAGGATCCTGGGTACTTAGAATATGAGAATGGCCTTTGTTAGGCCCAAGAGTCCTGTGTCGCAGGGACCACCGGCCCTTAGGAAGCTACAATTTCTGTTCCAAGTCCATCTACTCCCCAGTTTCTAAGACCATTGTCATGTAGGGATGTGGGCTCGCTACCAAACGGGCTTGAAGTAAATCTTGCCCCTCTTTGCCCCTGCAGGGAGGACCGCAGCCCCTCCTGCTGGGTCCACTGAAGTCTGCTCTCTGCTGGGACTGTGTGGCTCCAGCGGCTCTCCCCACCTGCTCACCTCCCCACCCTCGATAGACATCCAGACTGGGCCTGAGGCAGAGAACCCTTCATAAATAATTGAAGGAGTGGAATTTGAAAAATTCCATTTTGGCAATCTGACAGCTGGTACATGTCTTCAACTAAGATAACACCACATCTCCAAAGCCAACGGGTCATCAGACTCTTGAAAGCAATGAGTCACCCAGCCAGGTGCAGACTTTTGAAACAGGAATCATCAGGCTGCAGTTAAAGGGCCACTCCTCCTAATTACATGGTGACAATAGATATAAATGGGGGTAGTGCCAGGCCAACAAGAGTGGTCACACCAGCACTAGAGGGGCTGGTGCCTGTCGTGCTGGAGGCGCCCTTCATCTCCCCTCTTCTCGTCTGCCCATACTGGGGGCTCAGAGAGAATTTGGGGACTCACTCCCGAGGCTGGCTCTGACCAGTCCATCTATGGCTCCCTTGGTTTCTTCCCCCCAGAAAAGCTGCAGAAGGTGTCGAGCACCTCTCCATACCCTTGTCCCTCATGGCTTTCCTTCTGCGGCCTGCTATTCCCAGCCATAGCAGATAGGCCAGTAACAGCAGGCCTATCATCAGCGCAGTGAGACTAAGCCTACATAGAGCTGATAGACTCGAGGTTGATGCTGACCTGGGCAAGATCAGATCTGTCCAGAGGTACTGTCATTAATTCCTTCTGTCTGACCAGGTGCCTTTCCACCTGTGTAGCAGCCCTACCGACTATCCTAAGTCCCTTCCTAGGCTACAGACAGAAGCCTCAGCCGGCACAGCCCAGATCAAAGGCATCCCCTGGCTGTTTATCCCTCAGCATCCCGTCATTTGTGTTTCTCCCAAGCCCTGTGCTCCTAAGAAAGGCTATCAGTTATCTTGTGGCTGCTTTTGTTTCCTTTCGTGGTCAGCTGCAGAGGTGGTTCTCTGGGAGAACCTGCCCTGTCCATGACTGGCCTAATGCCCCATGGCTGCAGCTCCCACCACAATGCACATATACTTCAGGGTGATTGAGCTTTGGAAGCATATCCTAGTGTTCGCCTCTTTCTTGGCTTTTCAGAAGGCTGAAGGCAGGAAGCTGGTGGCTCAGAAGCCATTCCTACCTAGTATGAAGGCCACCACATAGTTGGAAATCTGGCCCATGCCCACGATGACAAAGAGCACTGTGAACATCTCCCAGTTGACAGAGAAAATCTGCAGGAAGCTGAAGCCAGTTTGCACAGCCATGGTTGCAAAGAGAATGTTCTTCCTTCCAAACCTGTGAAATACAGAATAACATAAGACATGAGACATACAGGCTGCAGCAGGCAGCAACTCAGAGTGTGCCTTGGTTTAGAGACCTAAAAAGCCTCGTGTGTTTGGAGGGGGCACTGTCCTTAATGAAAGATTCATCCATTGTGCATTCAGTAGCTTAATGTGCTCTTAGGGGGCAGAAGTTGATTGGAGATGGGTCACTGTAGGTGTGACTTGAAAGGGTATATGCTCAGTGGAACCCCCTTCCTGCCTGTCTTGCTTTATTCTGCCAGGTGTAGCTCCCCAATAAATATTGGTCTGATCTCCAATGAAAGACACACAAGGAGAAGGCTAATAACCACTCCGTTTATTTTAGGTGTGTTCTGTCTTATATACTTGGTGAGAACAAAGGCGTCCCTTGAGGAATCCTAAAGATAATTTATGAAAAGTACATGTTCTGCTTGAGCTGATAGCACGAGAACAGCACCAAGAATGTTCCCATATCCTGCAACTGCAAGGCTATGTCCTCCCTCCAAGTCATGCTATGCTTATCTTCAGAGTCCTTAGATGATAATAAGCTGACCCTAAGGACAGACCACATTTACAGCTTAGATGCAAGGTACTTCACATATATATTTTCATTGTTGACTCTCACACCAGACCCTTCCATTGTGCCATTTCTGCCTCAGAGTTAGCTGACAAAGGACTGAAACCTTGAGCCAAAATAAACCTCTCCTTTATGTTGTAGGTATCAGGTATTGGATCCTAGGTATAGAAAATGACTAGGGTTCCAAGAGTAGGGTAAGTGATGTAACTATACAGAACTACGTGGCTCAAAAGCCTTTAGAGTTAGTTTGCAGGAGGCATTTGGAAAGGTTTGGAGATGTCAGGTAGAAAAGCCTTAAACACTGTAAGCAGACTGGTAGGAAACTCAGAAGACCAGAATGCTGTTGGGAATGAAGAGGATAAAGGCCAGGTACAGGAGGTTTTTGTTACAAATAACTCCACTGGCAGTTGAGCTGGAGCCCATGTGTGTTACACTCAGGCAGAAAATGTGTGTTATGGTGGATACATTGTGTCAATTTGAGGAATTTAGAAGTTTAACTAAGGGACTCAGCAGGGAGCCAGGATTCTTACTTTGTAAACACCATGAGCCTGTACAAGAGGAGGGCAGGGAGATGGTTGAGTGCTACCCTGACCCTGGGGGTGTGTGGTAACCTACTTATAATATAAAGAATGGGAAGAGACTTGTTTTCCCCTTTTTGCTCTTGCTGCTTTTGCTGTCTTCTATCACCTTGAAGTGTTGCCTCTGTGCTATGCCACCCTACCTTGGAGCCAGCTGATTATAGAATGAAACTTCCACAAACTGTAAGCTAAAAAAATCTTTCCGTCCTTAATTTTGGGTGTCTAGTACTTTGTCCCAGCAATTAGAGAAAAGTAAGCAAGACAGAATTTGGTACCAGGAGTGGGCCAATGCTGTGACTATACCTGACCATATGGTTCAAGAGCTTTTGGAAATGGTTTATGGGAAGAGTTTGGAAAGGTTCAAAGATGTTGCCTGAAAGAATAGCACTGGAATGCTTTAGGCTGTTCTGTATATGAGATTCTGATCAGAGCTCAGAAAACTGATAAAAATCCTGCTGGAAAAGATCAGGCTCAGGAAGTTTCTGCTGGGAGTATGGACTACATTGATTGTTGGAGTTCAGATGATATGTGTTATGGCTTGGCACAAAGTTTGTCTGCATTTTGCTTATGTCCAGAGATTTTGTCTGAGACTGAGATTAAAGACAGTGGATTAATTAGTCTGGCAAAAGAAATTTCAAGGCAGTCAAATGTTGAGGCAGTGGCATGGCCATTGTTGGGGATTTTTAGCCAGATTTATGTCAAGAGCAAAGAGCCTAGTAGGATTATTTAAAACACTGTGAGTCTAGCCAGGAAAAAACATCCAGTAAAGCTGTGAACTGTAAAGATAGAGCTGAGATATCAATTGCTGAGAAGGAACAGGAGAATAGAAAAGCTAGCCCAAGGGTATCACAAGAAGCAGCAAGTCTTCACCCTTTGCAGCCTCAAAACTGCAAAAGTGAAAGACTTTGCTTTAAGAGAAAGCCACAGAATGCCATCTTTCAGAATGATGGTGGTGGCCACACCAGGTTCCAGAATAATGGCAGCATAGAGACCTTCTTCAGAATCGGGTTCAGAGTGCTCAGTGTTACAGGCATTTGACCTCTGTAGTCAAGAGAGAGGAAAGCGTGGCTACTGCTCCAACTGACAGCAGACCATGGCATCGTCCACATGGCACTGGTTTTAGGTGCATACAGAATGTAAGAGTTATGAGGTTTAAAAGGCTTCCACCCCAATTTTGGAAAGTCTGAGAGACTAGGCTATTGGATATTATGTCCCAGTGACAGGAAAGTGACTAAAACAGGGTGTGTTGCAAGGACATCACAGTGACTTTGTCTTGTCTTGGAGCTGGGAAGACTTTCTCTCTTGTACCCTACCAACTTCCTCCCTGATGAGGCGTTGGGCATTTGTCTCCCAGGACAGACCTTTGGAGATTCTGAGCCTTGTCAGAAGGCCCCAGATCTCAAAAACACAGAGAAGCATATTCAAGGACCATGCGGAAAGAGAAGGAGACACAGAAAGGAGTTGCTACCACATTTCTGGGAAGTGGGTATGGCACAGATGACAAAGATGTCTGACCTGGGAATTCTGTAAGTCCAGAACCAAGGTCCTGCAAGGGCAGTGGTTTTTAAAAGTGGCAGCAGTCAGAATCTTCTGGAAGACTTAAAAAGTACAGACAGCTCCTTAGTCAACAATGGTTTGACTTAGGATTTAAAAGTCAACCCTGCTTTGATTTTTGAACTTTGACCTTTCCCTGGGTTACAGAGATGCTATTTTTTTAATGCCCGGCAGCAATAGCAAGCTGCAGCTCCCAGCCATCCTCTTAATCAACCAGCACTCTCTAGTTTCCTGTACTGTAAGCTGTGACAGTCAGTAGGCTAAGGGTATTATGTGTATTTCCAACTTGGGATATTTCTGGCTTATGTGGGGTTTCCTAGGCCATAACTCCACTACAGTCAAGGAGCATCGACATAGTGACCAGGATTCAACAAGTCTGGGATGCAGTCTGAAGGGTGGGATTTTAAGTTTCTCTCCTGAATTTAATGTGCAAACCACTTTCTATGGGACGATAGAGATTCCCAGCTATGCCTGTTGGTGATTTCATAGTTAGTTTAACTGTTAATTTCACATTCTGGTAGGATAGAGGAAATGGTGGAGAAAATGTCTCAGTTTAATGTCTCAGATATCAGGCCATTTGGTGGGGGTCCCACTGGGGTTTTGGAGCTGGGGGAGGAACAATGGTGCCTCTGGGAAGTCTTCCCCAGCACCTCCATTTTTAAACCAACTCCTCCCTTCCCCCCCCCCCCCCCCCCCCGCTCCTCTGGGCTGGTGGAACTTGTGCCCTGGTGTTGAAATGCTGTTAACTCCAGCTTGTGAGCTCCAGGAAACCTAGACTCAGCCTGGGTCAGCTCTGTGGTCCCAGGCCCAGCCAGGACCCAAAGTTTGAACCCAGGAAGTGCAGAGCTAGTGCTCACTGTCTGGCCCGACTCTGTTAAGGGGTCAGTTATATAAGATCCACTACCTGCCCCTGACATGACTTTCAAGAATCAGGAAGGGATGGGGTGATGGCAGCATTGCGTTCTGAAACGGATTTGGAGTGAGGACTTCACTTAGGTGGGTCGGGTGACCTCTCACCCACCATAGTCAAAGCCCTGGAAGCAGGGGCTGGGAGAAGAGAATCCAAGTGGGCAGGTGGGGAGTGCCGAGGACAAGGCCCCTCGATCGCTGACTTAGGGCTTGAAGGGCCTCCCCTTCTCTAGGGGAGAAACCTCCTGAATCCAAGCCGACCCCAAGACAGGCAGTGAGCCACCCCGACTTTTCTCCCTCCACGGTCCTTACCTGTCTGACAGCTGCCCAGACACGAAGGAGCCACAGAGCACGCCCACGAAGAACAGGGAGGTGGTCAGGGGGGTCTTCCAGTCATCCTCACACACCAGGTTCCACTGCCAACGAAACAGCAGGGTTGTGAGCCAAGCCCACCAGCAGGTGCCATGCCCAGCCAGTGCTCCTCCCTGTGCCAGGCTATGCCCAGGGCGCCGTCCTGACAGCTCCGTGGCTGATGCCTGACCACCATTCTCCGCGGTGAGCGAAGCTTCTAAGCTGCTTGTGCTGCCCAGGGAGAGGCCCAGGCTGCATCCGGGGACCCCCTTAGCTGCAGAGCAGTGTGAGGCAGAGTGGACCTTGCCTTTTCAGGAGGCAGCCCCCGCACGGAAGGAAGATGTCTGAAAAGCCTGGGGATCAGGGGGAGGCCATGGTCACTTGATGCAGGGATTAAAAAGTGTCTTTCCTCACGCAGGATAGTGCAAGTGCTCTCAGGGATGCTGAGTTTTATTTTCTGGGCACCCCTCTCCAGTCACTCCAAGGCCAAGCTTAGGACTTGCCAGAGGGCCCCTCCATGCCAAACAAGGACTAACCCACCCCTTTCCAGGGCGCCTGTCACCTCCTCCTGCCCCTCCCTGGCAGCCGGCCTTCTCAGCAGCTTGGGTTCTCGGGTTCCCCAGAGACCAGGCTCTGTCCCTCTAACAAGTGCCTGCTGGTTGGGCCATAAAACGAGTTGCAGCCGGAGCTTCAGTTCCAGCTACTGACTTAAGTCAATTCAGCAAAATCTTAAGGGAGGTTGTAAAGATTTCAAAGTAGGTTAATTATCTCTCATGAAAAAAAAAAAAAAAAAAAAAAAAAAAAAGAAGTAGGTACCCATGAGTCTCCCGAGCCTGGGAGGAGGTTTGGGGGTGCGGCTGCGAGGATGCAGCCTGGAGGAAAGACCCCGGCCGCCCACTCCCGGGGGTGAACCTGCTTCCAGGAGCCGGAAAGCAGTTCGCTGCTCACAGGCGCGGTGCAGGCGCCACGGAGGGAGGGAAACACGCGTTGCTGTGTAGACCGCACCGGCTCCTGCACGGCGAGAGTGTTTGTAAAGACATGCGTGGAAAGTGGAAAGCTAAGGGGGATGAGAGGACCCGGAAACCAAGCGGAGGGAAGTGACACGCCGAGGAGGCAGGGGCGAGACCAAGCCCACGGCGTCCTCCCGCGGACCCGCCCAGCTGCCCCGCAGCTCGGTCCCGGGTGCGTCCCGGACCCGCATGGTCGACTTGTGCCTTCTCGTTTTATTTGCTTCTTCGTACATGCTTGCGATGCATGATGAGCGTATTTACCAGGGTGTTGGTCCCTGAACATGACACAGCCTAAGGCTTTTCCTCCTTCATTCCCCACCTTCGCCTGGCTCCCTGCCTCTTCCAAGCATTGGCTTCCTTTTCATTTGAAAAAAAACTCTATTTTCTTTTTTTTTCAATTATTTTTTCCACCCATTTCTCTCCCTTTCCTCCCTTCCCGCTCTCTTATTCCCTCATCCATTTGAAAAACATGTCCCTAATTCCTATCTATCCTTTTTAGTTTCTCATATAAGAGAAACCATGAAATATTTAAGTGTATATGTCTGAGTTATTGCACTTAATATTATGGTCTCTAGGTGCATCCACTTACCTATGAGTGCCTCGAGTTTATCTTTCTTTATGGGGGAGTAGTATTGTATTGCATAGAAGTACCACACTTTCTTTATCCATTTATCTGTGGATGAGCACACAAGCTATTTCCAAGATTTAGCTGTTGTAAGTTACAACCTTGGACATGCATGTATTCCTGTACTCTGATGACTTCAACTCTTTTGGGAAGATTCCTAGAAGGGGGATTGTTGGGTCAAAAGGAATTTCTAGTTTTAGTTTTTTGAGGAATCTCCACAATGGTTTCCACAGTGGTTGTGCTAGCTTACACTCCCGCCAACAGTGCAGACGGGTTCCTTTTCCCCCACATCCTCGCCAGCACTTGTTATTGGATTTCTTGATGACAGATATTCTTTCTGGAGTAAGGTAGTATCTCAGTATTGTGTTAACTTACATTTCTCTACTGGCCAGTCATGTTGAACATTTTTTCATGTATTTATGGGTCATTTGTACTTTTTCTTCTGTTCATTTCAGTTGCCCATGTTTTGACTGAGTCTTTTATTTTGGGGGGGATCTAATTTTTTTTTAGCTCTTACATATATTGCAGACATTAGATCTCTGAGGATTAGCTGACAATATTTTCCATTCTGAAGACTGACTCTGCACTGTGTTGGTTGTTTCTTTTGCTGTGCAGAACCTTTTTGATTTGATCCCTTTGTTGATTCTCAGGATTATTCTTACTGGCACAGGTTTTCTGAGTACTGAGACCTGGAAGTCTCTCCTATATACCTTCTTTTACAAAAGGGCCACTCTGATGTGGAAGATAATGTCCTCAAAGACACCCTTGTCCTAAAGACAGAAGCCAGGGCCAGGAGGCTTCTTCTCCTTGTGCTCACAAGGCTGGCTCCAGCAGGGTGCTCAAGCTCAGCTCTGCGGAAGAAAAGCAGTATAGGGCAGGAGTCAGGGTTTCCAACCGTAGACACAGCGCCAGGATCCATCTGAGACCATGCTCAGATAGGGTGGCCTCACCTGGTACTGGGTTAGAATGCCTCCATTAAAACTCATGTTGAAATGTCAATCCCACTGTAAAGTACTAACAAGCTAAAAACTTAATCTGACCAAGGCATCCTTTGGGAGGTAATTAAGGTTAAGTGAGGCCATAAGGATGGGGCTTTAACCCACTGGGACTCTCACTTTATAAGAGGCAGTGGGATCTCCATTGGCTTGTGCTGCCTTGCAGAGTCTCTCCCAGAAAGAAGGACCTCACCAGATGCAGCTGCCGAATCTTCAAAATGTTGAACCGAACAAATCTTATTCTTTGACAGTTGCTCCAGGACTAAGACACCTTGTGGTCGCTGAATGGGCTTTAGAGACGGGGCACTGGTCCCCCTAATATTGTATCTGCCAGCCCACAGATCAGAAGTGGTAGAGGAACATACCTGAGTTAGTGGCTGCCTAGCTCCAAAAATAACCCTAGCTTTAGACGAGAGCTTGGAATCCGCCCCTGATTCAGTAAGACATGGGTGATTGAAGCTCCAAAGCCAAACCAAGATGCGGAACCCTTGTTCCAAAGCTAAGACTGTCAACACAGCTGTAGCAGAGCTCTGAGATCAAGTGTGGAGCTCTGGGGAACCGTGCAGGTGGCATGGTCGCCAACCTGAACCTAGCCTTGGTAGGGGCTCAGCCTGGTCTCTCTGGAGAACGGAGCAGAGGGAAGCGTTCTGAATGGTGGGGGGTACTGGTATCACAGACAGCTAAGTTAGGTAGAAATATTAATTTCTAGGCAGTCAGAGAGGGGCAGGGCCCTTGAGAGAGTCAAAACAAAAGATAAGACACATTAAAACTGGCTGGAGATGAATTTGGAGACAGCTGAGTCTCAAGATGGAGACACGCTGTCCAGTCCTGCAAGCGTCCCTGCAGATAAACAGCAGCCGAGATGGATTGTGAGTAGCACTGCCTGGTCCAGGGCTCCATCTGGGCGTCAGACACACAGCGGGGGACCAGAGCATGTGGCCCGTCCTCCATCCCTTTCCAGAAATGCCTTTGTTCTTTCCATGGTAGACATGACAGATAAGATATTCTTAGACACTGGGTTTAGTTTAACCTTTTTCTGCAAACGGGTACCCTCTGAGAGAAAGTGGAACCCCAAGGAAGATATTGACTATCACACTGCTTTGCAACTAGAGTTGTTCTATAAGGGAGAGCAGTGGTCAGAGGCACCACATGTTTAGAACTTTTGTTTCTCTAAGAGCAAGTCCTGATTTAGGTTCAAAGTGTAGATGTGAACCTCTGCCAAGCAGGTGGCTCTGGCCCTGAAGCCTCACTGATGCATCTGCCATTACTGAGGCTAACGTTCCTCTCCCTAGTGCTAATTTTTTTTTTTTTGTTTTTGAGATGGGGTCTCTCTATGTAGTTCAGGCTGGCCTTAAACTCATGGTGATCCTCCTGGCTCAGTTCCCCAGTGCTGGGATTACAGGCCTGCATCACCATGGCTGGAAGGAGATTTCTAATCCACTGCTAATTAAAATCTCTCCTGGGCTATATCCACCTCTGTCTGATTTCACTCCTCAGGAAGCTGGGTGGAAAATTTGGCCCAACCCTTGTCTCTGTGTCCTCTGAGCTCAGTGATTTATCAAAGAAGATCTGGGAAAGTTTCCCGATAATCCTGATAAGTACCCTGAGGTTTTAAGAGGATTTACTCAGATCTTTAAGCTGGACTGGAAAGATGTAATGTTGGTTTTAAATCAAACATTACCCCCCTCCCCATAAAAACTAAGCAGCATTACAGGTTGCTGTTACACTTGGAGATGAAAATAATACTGCTCATTTTAGAAGACCAGAAAAGAGACAGCAGGAGGAAATTCTGGTTCCTACTGGGGTCCCGGCAACCACTATACAGGATCCCTACTGCTCTATCAATGGAAAGGAGATCGAGATAGAAATCATTTCCAAACTTGTATCCTTGAAGGCCTAAAAAGAACAAAAACTAAACCCTTCAATTATTCTAAATTATCAGCTGTTAATCGGGGACCAGATGAAAATCCCGCGGCCCTCTCAGATCATTTACAAGAGGCTTTGTAAGGTGTACGACTGTTCCCTGAGGCACTAGGACGGGGGGTTATTCTTTTTTTTTTTTTAAATGTCAGTGTGGAATGATACACCCTTTTAACTTGCAAAGGGTGAACAGAAAGCTACTATATTTCTCTAGGACATTTATAAAGGGTTATCTTCACCTTGAGAAGAAACTGAATAAAAATAAATGTCCACGGGTGGGTTACTCTTAAAGACAATTTTATTACCCGGTCAGCATCAGACAGCAAGAAAAAGCTGCAAAATATGCCTTTCACTCTAGAGAGATCACTCCATGCTCTAGTGAGAGTCTCTTATAATCAGACTAAAGGCGCCAAGGGGAAAAAACAAAGAGAACAAGAGAAAACAGCTGCTTTTGATGTGGGCTTAAAAGGAGAAGCCGCTGTTCTGATTGCTGGGACTGCAGAAACAATTGGACA